TATTGAGATGGTTCCAGCGGGAAGGGACTTTCGTGGAAGTCCATAGACCGGGGTACTGTGCTTTTTATGAGTACCCCTTCGTGATTGGTCATTCTTTCCCCCTTCTCCCATTGGCAGAAGAATTTTGTCAATTTTATCAGGTTTTTTCGGCGCAACTTTCCCCGTACACGCTCAAAATACTCCTATTGTTGACAAAATACGCGGAGTTGGCAGGGTGCGAAGTAATCGTTCACCACCTCCTACACTTGTTTTCACCTAGCTTTCATAGGGGTACTATAGTGTATCTGAGGCACCATGGGACAAAAGGCTGGTGGTCGGAACCTATGACTGGGAGAGTCGTAAATTTTGGCATAAGTACTTATTCTCCAGAACTAAACACATCGCGTCTGACCTCACTAGATTCCCGGAGCGGTGGAACGAGAATCGTAAGTGTCACCACTCATTTACTCTTTCTTTTCTACTTCATTCACCTTAGTGTTTATTTGTTGTTCTCCTTTGCAGCTATGGGGTGCCCACCCCATCCTATTGCAAGTATAAGGGATTGGGTAGCCCGTCTTCTGCCCCATACAGCGGAGACTCGAGACTGGCCCACTTTCGTGAAACGTTTTGGGCCGAAAGTTTCATTTGGCAAGTGTCTCCCATCACTCTTCGGCTATATAACATTGTCTATTGATATGACTCTTTATGATGACAGGTCGCAGAGTTTCTAGGTGGAGGGCCCCAGTCCCTGCATTTCATCAGGTTGTCACCTCCGTATGAATGCAATTCACTTTGGATGAGTCTGCCCGAGAGGGTCGTGCTCAGTTGGTGCAGGCGAGGGACCCCTCTGGGGATATGGTTGTGAGGGGGAAGATCCTTTCTTTACCAATCCATCATCTCGTGGATGAGTCCTCTAATAGGGACGAATCTTCGTTCAAAAAAAAGATGAGGATAGAGCTCGAGAAGAGTGTGTTCGTTGATACCGGTAAGAGTAGGATGGGTGCATCAGAGACGGCACTGGTACCCATGTTTATGGCCGATGCCATCTTGGCAGGGAGGTCTCCCCAAACAGAAGTGGTTTATCAAGGAGGGGGTATGCCCGCTCCGCTGAGGGTGGCGCATCATCCATTGTCAGCGGGGGTTTACGCGCTAAAGGCGATGGCTTGGGCTTTGACGTCGACCCAGGGGATGTTCAAGAGTTTTTGGAGCGTCATACTCGCGTAAAGGTCAGAATGGAGGGTTTTTACTGACATATAGTCGTTCGTGGGGACTACGACTTGCTGTCAGACTGTGATTAGGTGGCATCCGCTTTTCCCCCTTTGTGTGCTGCCCTGAGAGCGAGGTACTTAAAGCGATGAGTGATTTAGAGTAATCTTGGAGTGTTTCTGGCATGGCTCTACAGGTAACTGTCTTTTCTTTTTATTTCGTCGTTGGATCTGCGTTACTATTTTGGCTCATTTGTTCTAACTTTACCTCTCGTGCTAGACCCTCATCATGGAGATCGATTGTAAGCATGACCATCTATGGAAAGATGTCTTCCAAGTACCAAGAATATCGCACCAAGCATCGGGCGATGGCCGACATCTACAATCAAGATCGCGACTTCCAATTGTTCCGCAAAGGGCTCAAGTAGAGGGAGGATCAACTGGCGCGTAAGGTCGAGGAGTTAATAGAACGAGATGAGGACCTGATGAAGGCCGTTGTCTGTAGCAGTGACCTTGAGGCATCCATCAAAGCCAGGGAAGATGAGCTCAAGCTAAGTAGGGGAGTAGTGGTCGAAAATGCCAACCTTCAAGCAAAGGTAGCCAGTTTAACTGCCGAACTGGATATGAAGACGGCTGAGGTCGATGAACTTATGGGTAAGTTGAGTGTGAATGCTGATAGATTGGCCCGTGCTGAGAGGGAGAGGGCGACTGCCATCTCTGAGGTGGCGGTTTCACAAGATGCCCTCCGTGTTTGTAGGTTAGAGCGAACTAAGGAGATGGAGATGTCTGCGCTTAAGACATCGAAACTTGAGGGGCGTATTCAAGGGTTGGAGGCATAACTATCCGCATTGAACAAGCAAGTGGATTCTTTGAAAGCGTAGGACGTACGACGACAGTCACAACCTTTTACATCTTATGCTTCTACTGATCACGTTGTGCCTCGACATTTATATGAGTTGTGGGTTTACGCCGAGACTCAGCTTGATGTGTACAAGGCTCTTCATATTGATGGGAGGGCATCTCAAACGCATCTTCGGGATGTACGCGCCAAGGCTCGTGCAACTCGTAAGTCATGCAGGTATGATCATCTCTTGTCTGATAGAGATGATACTAATTCTGATGATGCGAACAGACTCGCCTCCGACTCTTGGTACGAAGATGTGTATGCCACTGGAAATGATGTGTAGTATTTGTTTTGTACTTACTTTTTGCTTCGCAATTTTTGTAAGCGCATATTTGAGCCCTTTGTAAAGACAAATATTTGTAACATATTACTGTAAATGAAGGTCGTTTTGCTCGCATATCTCTGAGTTGTTCCTTTCTTTGGTTTGTTTGACGATGACTTCTACCGCAGTCACATCACTCCGACGCTTTGTTGAAATTCTAAACTTATTGTATTGAGTTTAGTCGATCTCTTTTCGTTAGCAACGACCTTAGCCATGGGGATATTACATTCGAGTTGGTGCCGAAATAATGCCCCGTCGTGGTTTGAATGAAGTCGAACTATTTTTTCTGACGGTGGCCTTAACCATTGGGGTGTTACTTTAGAGTTGGTGCCGAAGTAATGCCTTGTCGTGGTTTGAATGAAGTCGAACTATTTTTTCCGGCGGTGGCCTTGACCATTGGGATGTTACTTTCGAGCTGGTGCCGAAGTAATATCCCATAGTGGTTCGAGTGATATTGAACTCATTTTTTGTCGATGGCCTTAGACATTGAGATGTTACTTTCGAGATGGCACTGAAGTAATATCCCGTCATGGTTCGAGTGATGTCGAACTCATTTTTTCGATGGCCTTAGCCATTGGGATGTCACTTTTGAGTTGGCGCCGAAGTAATATCCCGTAGTGGTTCGAGTGATGTCGAACTTATTTTGTGTCAATGGCCTTAGCCATTGGGATGTTACTTTCGAACTGGCGCCGAAGTAATATCCCGTTGTGGTTCGAGTGATATCGAACTCGTTTTTTGTCAATGGCCTTAGTCATTGGGATGTTACGTTCGAGCTGGCGCTGAAGTAATATCCTATCGTGGTTCGAGTGATATCGAACTCATTTTTTGTCGATGTCCTTAGCCATTGGGATGTTACTTTCGAGCTGGCGCCGAAGTAATATCCCTTCATGGTTCGAGTGATGTCGAACTTATTTTTGGCCGATGGCCTTAGCCATTGGGATGTTATTTTCGAGCTGGCGCCGAAGTAATATCCTATCGTAAGGGTGGCATTCTATTTTATTTATTGGAATATTGTGGATGCCAGTTTCATTCATACATTGGAGACGCGTGTTGATTTCGTATACATAATGGAGTGATTTTATTCATATGTCGGATATACATGTCGATTTCGTACATATAATGGAGATTCTTTATGTCTAGTCCCTTCATTGCTCGGTCTGGAGATGTAATCGGTAGGAAGGGCAATGAATAATACTTCGCACCTCGAGATGTACCCCTTGTTGCTTCATTGAAAACCTCCACAAGAAAACCCGATTGGGACAAAACCCGGGTAAGGGAAAAAGAGTACAACTCGGGCGGCGCCTTTTATCAGAAGTGGAAGTACTTGAGGTGGGCGACATTCCAGTTATTTTGTAATAGTTTTCCTTCAATTGTTTCTAGTTGGAATGCTCCTTTACTTGCTGCTGCTGTGATTTTGTACGGCCTGTCCCAATTTGTTCTCAATTTTCCTTCATTCGGGTCCTTCGCTGCTTGCGTTTTGGCCTTTAGTATATAGTCGCCGACTTTGAGTAGTCGTTCTTTGGCCTTTTTGTTATAGTACTTTTCTGCTTGTTATTTTTGGGCCACCATTCTTATGTGTGCCATATCCCTTCGTTCTTCGACCTCATCCAGGTCTTGTAACCTGCTTTTGTCGTTGCTTGATCCACTCTCATTGAAGTATCTCAGGCTAGGTTCCCCGACCTCAACAGGTATGACTGCATTGGTGCCGTAGACCAGTGAATACAGCGTCTCACCTGTGCTGGTCTTCGGCGCTGTGGGGTAGGCCCATAACACCTTTGGTAGCAGTTCCGGCCATAGGCCTTTTGCATCTTCGAGCTTTTTCTTTAATATGGATAATATTGTTTTATTGGAGGATTCCGCTTGACCGTTGTCGGCAGGATGATATGGCGTGGAGAGTATCCGTTTGATATGCCATTTTTCGAAAAACTCAGTCGTCTTTTTCCTGACAAACTGGGGTCCGTTGTCGCAACTGATTTCTTTGGGGATGCCGAAGCGGCATATGATGTTTTTCCAGATGAACGTGATGACTTCTTGTTCACGTATTTGAGCGAACGCACCTGCTTCCACCCATTTGGAAAAATAGTCAGTTAAAACCAAAATGAAGCGTATCTTACCTCGCCTTGCTGGGAGGGGCCCGATGATATCCATCCCCCATTTTATAAACACCCATGGAGAGGTGATGGAATGTAGGAGTTCCCCCGCCTGGTGTATCATAGAGGCGTATTTCTGGCATTGCTCACATTTCTTGACGTACTTCGCGGCCTCTTTTTTCATAGTGGGCCAGTAGTATCCTGCACAAATAAGACACCTAATGAGGGCCCGGTTGTCGGTATGGGCGCCGCAGTGGCCTTCGTGTACCTCTTCGAGCACACACCTTATCTGATTGGGTACGAGGCATTTGGCTAACGGGCCACCTAACGTTCTTTTGTAAAGGTCCACTACAAAAAAACAGGTAAATTGCGGAGGTTTATTTGCGGAGGGTATAAGTAACCTCCGCAATTTGCATAAATTTGCGACACTTTGTTATCCCCACAAAATTATACAATTTAAGGGGGTTATAAAATTCCGCAACCCTTAAAAAAAAACGCCCAATTTATTTCACACTCCCTCCTTTTTTCCCCCAAACCTAAAAACATCCGCCTTAATACTCCGCCTAATCGACTCCCCCTTAACTCTCTCTCCGCCTAACAGAGAAAAAGAAGAAGAAATTAAGTCCAAAATCACGTTAGATTGAAATCCAACGTTAACAGCAAACTGCTTCATAGATTGAAATCCAAAATCAATTCACGTTGAAATCCCTTAACACTTCCGCCTAATTGAAATCTCCCTAAATCTCCTTCCAGGTACTGCTGAAGTATCATCCATCTTCAAAGTTGGTTCTGATTCTCATCGTGTACAGAAGGTAAGCTTATTTCGAGATTCATTTCTTTTAATTGTTTTCTCACTATATGGGTTGTTCTTCGGCTTCTCTGGTATTGGGTATTGTTTTTTTCTTCTTAGTTTTTGAAATTTATTTTGAAGAACATGAGTAACATCTGTTAATTTATTTTTGGATAAGCTTTTATTTTTAGGAAGTTTTGCACTACTGTTTTTTTCGAAATATTTTTATTTAGTCTGAAATTTTTGCTAAACCAACATGCAATATAAAAAAGTCTCCTGAATAGAGATAACTATATTTGATTTTCCTATTGAAATGATTGACATAATTAAGAACTATAGAAATTGCAGGTGGTTATTGAGAGACCTCTTGAGTATAGAAATTACTAATCCAGCTAAAGTAACGATAAATACTAGGTAATAAAATAGATACTTCAGTATGTCATACTTCTGCAAAATAAGTCGAACACCTAATGGATTAAGAATTAGATAAAAGTCTTTCTAAGAGAATTCACATCGATTCATCAATTTAGGTAATAAACTTTGGAGTTTCAACAACTTCAAGAAATTCAATTGCAAAAGCTATTATTTAAAATGTAATTAGAATCAATTATTGTATATTTAACATAACTTTGTGTTTATACTAAGTGAGAAGGATCTCTCACGGATCAGACCTTTTGACATTTACCACTTGAATTCATAGACCATAAATCCATTGTTAATACTGGTTTTGGTCGGAGATGCCTAAGTCATACTTTAACGACTGCTTTAATAACATTATAAAGGTATAAGCTCTATATCTTTATAACTATATTTTTATTTTGTCTTTTGTTTTTTGTATATAAAAGATAAACTAACCAAAATTTATTTTTGAAGTCTCATTTCTGTTTTATGACCATTGAGGAAGTTGCACGGGAACCAAAGATGAGATTAAGGATAATGTTTCGGTAGTATTTCTCGGGATTAATGGACTTCCTTTGTGAACTACCGTTATAAAGAAGAAACTCAGGTATTTTTCTGAAATGTCACATTGAAATGCATAAAAATGTGATTATTCATTTATATAATTGATTGAAATGTATCTTATTGTTAGAACATGTGTAAAGACAAGAGGGGTTGCTCTGATGGTAAGCAACCTCCACTTCCAACCAAGAGGTTGTGAGTTTGAGTCACCCCAAGAGCATGGTAGGGAGTTGTTGTTGTTGTTTTGTTGTTGGAACATGTGTAAAAGAAATGCTGAAAATTGAAAAAAAACAAACAGTTCCACACACCAATGGCTCCAAACCTAATTCAGAAGAAGGGCTGAAATGGCGAAAGATGTCACATTATTTACCTTACTTTACTATTTAAATTTTAGATATTGTATCTATTTCTTTTTATTTAGTTAAACTATTCTGACTTATTTTTGTTTTCATACATAGATGACTGAGACAGGGAGAAAGCCTGGACGAGCACAACTTTATCTTGCTACACATTCGAGAAAAGATGGATCATATGTAAATGAGGAGGCGTAAGAAATATGTGTAAGTTACATTCATGATTGTTTCTGTTAATGTGCATCCTCTTTGTGCCAAATTATTTGTTAAGAAAAGGGATCATTTGTTTGGTTGAAAATCTTTCTTCTGCATGTTTACTGAAAATGGGGAAAAGTGAAAGAAGTTTTGATGTGTATTGTGTTTAGGAAAAGAAATGAGCTAGTTGTGAGTGAAAGTACAGTGGATGAGTCTGAAATTTCTCCAAATGAGGTTGTTGGTAAGATGCTAGGCAAAGAGCATCCTGGTAGGGTGAGATGTTTGGGATTAGGAGCTACTCCAAGCATGTCACGACCCAAAATCAAACTAGTCGTGATGGCACCTAACCCATCCCGCTAGGTAAGCCAACTCATCAAGTCCAATACAAATATAACATACTGAGGAAAAATAAATGATCTCTTATACACCTCCCAAGGACCGGTAGTACAAATCATGAGCTTCTAAGAGTAGAATTTACACAACTGATATGAAACATATGCATCTTCTATTAGAAAAGCTACATAAACAGAGTTTAATGAATCTAAGGCTATCATGAACAAGAGACAGCTACAACACGGATGTCGGTACATTTTCCAAGTTAGCTCCCATCGAACATAGCAACGTCGACATTCGAAATCTGTACGCAATGTGCAGGAAGTGTAGTATGAGTACAACCGACCCCATATACTCAAAAAGTAACAAACCTAAACTTAGGTTGAAAGTAGTGACGAGCTTGTACTAAGGTCATAGTCCACACCAATATCCAGTAATACTTCACAACAATATTCAAATGCAGCACAAAAGACAATTTAATAATAAAATGCTCAGCTCATTCACAGTTCATGAAAAATAAACCTTTTCTTTTCAAGTATAACAGTAAAACTGAATTTTTTTCACTGAAATTACCAAAATATAAGTAAGTCTAAAAACTGTGAATTTTTCCATAAAACCATTCAATAAGTAAAACAAGTAATTAACATGTAAGTAAACAAATAGAAATTCGCCCCTCGGGAACAATATCAACAAATCCGCCCCTCGGGCAACATCTTAGAACAGTACCATCCCCTCAGGCTCAATATCAAAATAGTACCAGCCCCTCGGACTCAATATCAGAACAGCACCAGCCCATCGGGCTCAATATCAGAATAGTACCAGCCCCTCGGGCTCAATATCAGAACAGTACCAGCACCTCGGGCTTAATATCAGAACAGTACCAGCCCCTCGGGCTCAATATCAGAACAGTACCAGCCCCTCGGGCTCAATATCAGAACAGTACCAGCCCCTCGGGCTCAATATCACATCACAATGGGTACCCGCGCTCACTGGGGATGTACAGACTCCGGGGGAGGGGGCCTTACGGCCCAAGCAATATCAAGCCATCTCGCGACATCACATCTAGGCCCTCGGACTCATATCAATCAAGCCACCTCGAGGCGTATATATATGTATCTCAGGCCCTCGGCCTCATATCAATCAAGTCACCTTGTGGCGTATATATATGTATCTCAGGCCCTCGGCCTCATATCAGTACCAGTGTATCCTCACAAATTGGCCATCGACCTCATATCAGTACCAGTGTATCCTCACAAATTGTCCCTCGGCCTCATATCAGTACCAGTGTATCCTCACAAATTGGCCCTCGGCCTTACTCAGTCCGAAAATCATCACAAGCCCCTCGGGCAATAGTAAAACAGTATTTCTCAACCCAAAACATCATTTAAAATCTCATTTAAGTCTCAAAACTAAGTAAAAATGGCTGAATAGTAAAACAGTAGAAAACAACGGGACTGAGTTCAAATAATAATTCAAAATAGTGAGGAAATGGTAATAAAAATCCCCGAAAGGTTTAAATAGTTGGCTCGAAGCCCAAATATGGCGTTCAGCCCAAAATAAAGATGATATGATGTGTCAATAAATAATAATTGAGGTTGTGATATGAATGCATGAATGTGACTGAGTATGGTATATCAATGAATTCAATGAGATGACAGCAAGAAACGATCACTATGGGTCCCAACAATATCGGCATAAAGCCTAAACATGTTATCTAGCATGATGTACAACTCAATTTACTTATCACATGGTGAAAACATAGATATCAACAAGGTAGGACCACTGCACAGTGTCCTGGAAATAACAAAGTCACCATTCACAGGGTGCACGCCCACACGTCCGTCACCTAGCATGTGCGTCACCTCAACATCCATCACACAATTCGGGGTTTATACCCTCAGCACTAAGTTTAAAAGAGTTAATTATCTTGAACAAGCCGACTTCAATGCCGAGCAAGATAAAAGTACTCCAGAAATTCCATTATATGCGTATCAACCTTTGAACGCCTTCCAATCTCCTCAATTCCAAGCCAAACGATTCAAAACTAGTCAAACAACGTATAAATTAATCAAAACATACTCCAATTCTTACAATTTAACAATTTATGAAAATTTCCAACACCGTTCAAAAATTTGATAGTGGGGTCCACGTCTCAAAATCCGACGAAACTTACAATATCTGATAACCTATTAGATTACGAGTCCAACCATACTAATTTTACTCAAATCCGACTCCGAATCGATGTTCAAATCTTGAAAATTAATTTTATGGAATTTTATAAAATTCCTCCATTTCTCTTGAAATATCAATAATCTAACCCCAAAAATAAAGATTAATTCATGGAATATAATCACAATGGAGTTAAGAACACTTACCCCAAGTTTTGTGGTGAAGTTTGCCTCTAAAAATCGCCCAAACCGAGCTCCATAGCTCCAAATGTGTAAAATGGCCGAAACCCCCGTTTTATAGCATTTTACCATTCGGGCGCCACAGGTGGCGCCGGGCGCTCGTCGTAATTCATCGTATGAAGCTATTCAAGACTTCAAATAGTAGAAAGGAGCATAAGTGCCCAAAACAACCGGTTGGGTCGTTACATTCTCCCCCACTTAAACATACGTCCGTCCTCAAACGTGCTAAGAATTGTTCCTAATCTTTTAAATTTCCATTCCATCTTATCACACACATATCTGGGGGTGATCGCATGTCACCCTATTGAATATAGGCCTAAAGACATCATATAACAGAAAGTCACTAATTTAACATTAGTCCATATACCTTGGAATCCAATTTCCACATCAAATAAATAAATTGTAAATCTTTTGAAGACCAAAATATCACATCTACACTTTGTATAAATCTTAACATGTTGTATTAAGCCTTAGCCATAACTCCAGATGCAATCATATGACATGCCACATAACCCACATACTCGCAGTAGTTTCTAATCATCGTAGCTACTTAAATACAAACCTGATACCGGTATTAAACCATATATTAAACAACACCTCATTACAAAACCTTTGTAAACTGTCAGCAATGAAAGAAACATGCGGAATAACCTAACCACCAAATAGATCAACATATCATAGAGCTTTTCCTCTTTCAACAACCACAACTATAATCACTTTCTAAGCCAACTTTCGATATCATCCTCCCACATATATCGTAATCAAATTCGATAGTACACATTCTAGGTCTGATGACCTTATATTATTAAACACCACTATTCCACATACAGTCCACACTAATATAACTCAAGACTGCACTATCCAGGTACCCAAAAGGGAAAGTATCTCAAGGAAGAGAACTATTTTGCAAGTTCAATAAGCACCACCACAACCACAATGCTATGAGCTCATCATTCGTACTAGAACCAAGACACACAAACCAAATAACAATAACCAGCTCTTCTAGAACTCACATTAACATCAACCGCAAGAGCAACTAGTACACAATCCACCTAGCATAGTCACAGGCCTCCAATCCAAGCATATCATACAGGAGTAATCCAGCAAGTACACACGTATATGTCAAATGAAATAAGATTCTCATGCTCCTAAATTGGCATAAATAACACGCTGCACTGTAGGCGTGAGTCAATTGCATTATCACAGCTCAAAATCGGCAAGTTAACACAAAATTAGTAACTACCAAGTTTATTCAGGAAATTAGCCTCATTGTAACCTCAAGTATAGACCAGATAGTTCTCAACAAAGGTACAAATTATGAGAACCATTATAAATTCAAGCTTAAAAGTCAACTCTAGGCATACCATAGCCTAAGCACATTCTCGAGCATGAATAATTGCCCCGATGTTCGCTCATAGGTTCAAGCCTCGCATATATGCGCACTCATAGTGCATAGTTATCACAATCAATTAGTGCAACTAGTGCCTCCACTGAGTTTAAATAAAATACTCACCTCAAACATGCCACAATCCCGAAATAGTATACTTTTTGAGAACTCCCAGTCTCCAAATTCATAAATCACATAAATCACCATAATTGATCACAACCTCAATACTCAAATGACTAACACATCCCTCAAGCACGATCATCCCATGATAAATATTTTCAAAACTCTCCCGTGCCACATAGCAATAATTTGTATATCAGTAGTCTATCAACCAAGTGAGTACTACAATACCAATGAGACATCTGTAAGTCAAAACACAATGTCCCTTCTGAAATGTACACCTTTTCTCGTGAAATACTAGGTTGTAATAACATTGATCTAAATATCTTAAATTGGACATGCTGTCCAAAATTTGTGTGTTTTCTTCAAAACTAAACTGGCACCTTATACATGAAACTCTCAATCCCACAAGACACACCACCTCTATTAGACCATTATACGAAAAGTACGAGCATTTCATATCAACTCTGAGTCACCAGTAGAATACATACCCGATTAGTTAGAAATATTCCATTTGATCCCTTCCAGAAGAAAATCACAATACACCATGTGTTCCTCACACCGGTAGAAAATATCCGCCTCAAACATTTTGAAATCTGTTTGCACATAACCAAGATATCAAAAATGAATTCTTCTAACTCGACCAAGCCACATAGGTTACCAAACCCAAGAATATTGCCACCAAAACATCTGTAAAGCATCACTACATCATTATTATAGGAAAGAACTGATCATATTCATTATCGTGTTGATCCAACTTACTA